GAGATTCTCTTCTTACTTGGCATAGCAAAAAATAGTCCCTCACCGCTCGCTCTAGTACTGAAGCTGAATACCGCGCTCTTGTTGACACTGCTTAGGAACTTTTATGGCTTCGCTGGCTCCTTGCTGATATGGGTGTTTCTATGGGTGTTTCTTCCCCTGGTGCCACCTCTCTCTATTGTGGCAATCAAAGTGCCATTCAGATTGCTCACAATAATGTCTTCCATGATCGCACCAAACATATTGAGATTGATTGTTATTTCATTTGCCAACATGTTACTCGTGGCATTGTTCATCTTCTCCATATTTCTTCTGCTGATCAACCTGCTGATATTTTCACCAAGGCTCATCCTCCCAGTCGTTTCAGTGATCTAGTTTCCAAACTCAAGTTGGTTGATGCTTACCCACCTTGAATTTGAGGGGGACTGTTAATGTATATATTTATATTTATCTCATTGTATCTCTATCTCTCTCTATCTCTATCTTATCTTTATCTCTCTCTATCTCTATCTCATTATATCTCTATCTCTACCTCCTTCTATACTTATCTTTTGTGTTCAGCCTATAAATACAGGCTCTTCTATTGTATTCTTATTCATTCAATAATAAGATACATTATCTCTATCTCTACCTCCTTCTATACTTATCTTTTGTCTTCTATTGTATTCAATAACAAAAATTGAAATTAATAATCTTACTGGTCAAACGAAACTCCTCCAGACTATTTAACAATCAGAGCACCACTTGCCACATCCCTAATAAAAGGAATGAACATTTTAATAATGTGTAATATTGGTCATGCAATTCACTTATCTTCCCCTTAAAGCTAAATCTTGTACAAGATGCAAAGTATTTACACAAGAACATAGGGAATAAATATACATATATATTATACATTCAGAAAGCAAGTAGTAGTAGGTGCCTCGCAGATGCACGAAGCTGGTTATGGCCCAGATACAATGGATGGGAGCTCGTTACAATAATTGTCAATTTGTCATGAATTATTTTATTTAACAACAAAAATTATAAACACAAATTTTTATAGATGGTATTGCCTGTCCTGTGGTACCTCATAATAAAACATACTTTTTCGCTTGTGTGTATACTCGGTCCATCTTCACTCATGCACATGGTAGCCCAATACTTGTCACTAATGATAACAGAAAACGTTCTATATAAGTAACACAAAGATCTTGGCGACATATGGTGAAGGAGTGAAGAATTCCCAATCAACTAACAACTGTACTGCTTTTTTGGTTCATGTGTTGCAGAACCCAAAACAACCACCGGATCAATTCAGGAAAAAAAATTAATCACCTTTTATGGGGTTCTCGTTCAGAAAAGCACATTTTTCATGGATGATAGTGAAAAGTTTTTACTTCACTAAACCACTTATGGTTGTCAAAACACAATCTTATTTTATGAAATCGGCATATAGCTCTAAGAATCTCTAGCCTCAGTGGATCAATATGTCTATACCAAATAGGGGAAGAAGTACAATAGAGGAAGGGACAACTAATAACTCAATCGATAGGTAAATAAGATTTACGAATTCCATTCTAGTTAACACTCTGCTTCTTTGGGTAGGTAGGATCATACTAGTAAGTGACAACTAGGAGACCACCTCGACAATTTATAGAGATTGAATAGTTTATTAAAGTTGGACAATCAATAAGATATAAAGCATGATAATTCTTGCTTCATCTATAATTGAGTTGTAAACAACACCAAGGCGATTTTTCCAATCGTTAAACCAATAAAGAAACACACAAACCTACAAGTCATTGTGTAATGCAACGAAAAAATCAATTGGAAATGCATAATAAAGAATAAATTCCCTACTAGCAACAGTTGACATCAAAATTCGATAAATGTCCCATTAAGAGGATCAACTGTCCATGTTGATTCATCAATCAGCCCTGTTACGCCACAAGCAACAATGGCTTCTTCACCAATGAACTAAGATGAACAACAACTTCAAGAAATAATAAGAACCAGTTTTTTGAAAGTACCCAACATTGCCACACCAAGCAATCACATTCTAAAATTCCATCAAACATATGCAGTTATATAGAAGAAAAAAAAGGTAAATCTTATGGTTGGGAAAATCTTGCTTAAGATGATTGAAAATGAGAGCTTCACATGTCTTTATCAGTTGCATTATCACGTCTCAATAATTAGTTGCATTATTACATCTTTTATCATTTATGCCAATAAATCATAAAATATTGTTTTGGGTTCAATATTTTTTATAAATTAGTGAAATTTCGTATACTTTTCAATTCTTTCATTGATATTCTTCTTTCATTCCTTGTCTTAGGCTTCGTATAACCTTTGTACCATAGTAGCAATATACTATTTGATCGTTGACGTTGTTATATATGTCCATGACCAAATCATTTTCACTTTTCACTATTTTGTGTAGAATTTAGTACCTCTGATTTTTTTCTTTTTTTAACGAAAAAAGAAATGATGCTCCTTGGAGCCATCATAGCATCCGTAGGCCTCAGCCTCAGGATAGTCGGTTGATTGTCAAATTTAACCAAATCCATAAGAACGAACCCGTCACTGGGGTTACAATGGACCCCACCCACACCCTTATAGCAGGAGGCAGAGTCTAGCAACAGAAGTATAGTGCCAGCTCTGAAGAGCGCACCTTCCAAGCGTCAAATCCTGCTCTTCTGTGTGAAAAACAGGTGCGTTATCTAAGTTACCACTACCCCAGTGGTATTTAGGAACTCTGATTGTTCTTTACTTCTTCTAACCTTTTTCTTAGAGGCTTTTGTTGGCTCAAATAGTCATTTCTAGTCAAATCTCCCTGCTTTTTCCAAATTTGCCTAACAACACTAATACTACTAAATTGTCAACATTTGGCAATCTTTTATGTATTTCCTTAGATTTTTGTAATTGGTAATCTCATTTGACAAAGCTTAATTCAGTTGTAATATTATTCGCTCTTTTGTTTCAATGAGGTTTTAAGTGTTTATGTGTGAATCCAATCCGAATTGTGCATCTGCAAAAGAGTTTACGATCTTGATTATTTCATATTTGCCACTTCGCTGATTATTTATGAGGATCAAGGGGGCATCGCCCCATGGCGGGTATAGGGTAGTGCCCCCGAAGCAAAAAGCAAAAATGCAGTTGAAGTTGTTCGACCGCTCGGGCGGTCATTTGTGCGCTCAAGCGAAGAAAATGATCATCCGATATTTTTGCAGAACGTCTGAACTTCTTGGAAGCAAGTTTTACCGCTCGAGCAATAAATGTTACGTTCGAGTGATCAGCTTATATGTTTAATATCGTCTTTACTCACACCGCTCGAGCAGTCTTCGCGATCTAGTTTACTATAAAGTGCGCTGTTTGCTCGTTTTAGGGTTTGAGCCGCTCAAATTTTCAAAGAGACAAAAAAAAAAAAAACAAAGTGTTTTATATTAGTGAGTCCTTTACGAGTGTTTCCTTGATGATTTAAGAGTGATTAATGGATCCATGAACTTTATATCAACATCATCAAGGGATTTGCTTGTTTTCTTTTATTCACAAAAGAGAGTTGCTCTTTGATAGATTCTGAGGAACTTAGGCTTGGAGCTTTGGTAGATTCCAAAGTGGCTCATCGTCGTGGATTCGACATCGGCGTTATGGATTCAATGTTTGGCAAAACAATTCCGAGGTAAAGACGGTGGTAGAAGAGACACACCGGGGTCTATTCGATTCAGGTGTGGATTCGCTAGGTAATTGAGAGTATGCATGTGTAATTCTTTTTTGTCTTCTTAATGGATTGTTTTGTAACTTTGGCCTGTGATTTTTTTTTATCACAATTGGAAGCACTCCAATTATAATTTTTTCACGATAAATCGTTGTGTCGATTTATTTTTTATTGTTTAATTGTAATTGTTATTCATTGTTTAAAATTGAAATATAATCACAAATCAATATCTCGGGAATTTTAAATTTTGTTTTTCATATTTTAATTTAATAAACTGAACAGATTGAAATATGTTTCCCAAAGCAAAGTAACTTATTGTATTTTTTAAAAAGAAAATAAAGAAATAAAGACTGACAATAAAGCCAGGTGAAATAATAAGGCAAAACAAATGTTTTACCGTGATGAATCACGCTTAAGTTAATTATATCTTCAGCATAATTAATTTTAAAATTTTGAGGCATGACAGCATAAATGTAAAAAAATAAAATAAAATAGACAAAAGTGACCCTAAATTAACTCAGAATCACAAACGCTGACATACTTGAGTATTTTAGAACGAATATTATAGGCCAAATTCAAGGCTAGGGAAATGACATATTACACTCATTAATATGAAAAAGATAGGAAGCATGAAGAAAAGTCCAATAAAAAATATTGTTCTGCAGATTCAAATTTAACATAATGTGAATGAATTTAATCAACACACTTAGCATTGGTGAATTAATATTGTGGTCACCTCGTCCAAAAATGGCAAACACCAAGTGTAAAATTGCAATATGGTAATGACGTGGGCATCGCTGAAATGATTAAGGCATCAAAGCATACCCTAGATTAGAACATTTGTTTTGCTATTACTCTTTGGCAAATTTGGAGCGACAAGAACAAAAAGAATTTTGATAATTTAGGCTAAAACCTAATCTTATGAAATTCACGACGCCTTCCAATACCCACTAAATACTGATCATATAACAATTAAACTAATTAAATCGATGGTTTCCTCTGCAAGTACAAATTAAACACCGATGGATGTTCTAAAGGAAATGCGCATATGGTGGCCTCTTTCGAGATGATAAGAGGGATGCAGGTCCATGTTTACTCAGGCAAGCTCAACAAGTGAGAATCCATTTCAAACCAAACAGTTCCCTCTTGAATCAGAAATTTTGTGAATACAAAACAAAATCAACTCCTGTGGGGTTTTTTTTTCCCCCTTTCTTTTTCCCTCTTAAATTCCTTTTTCTCTAACCTGTAAATAGCGTTCCAAGTAAAATTTCTCCATTTAGCAAACACAAAATTATAAAAATAATTAAAAAATAAAAAATATGATAAATAACTAATTCTTGATGCCTTTGAGCTTTAGGGGAAGAATGTACCCAGATTTTCCAAGCACATTAATAAACTGCTACCAAAGAAGAAATTAATATACATCATCAAATTATTTAATAAGATTGCTGAATCAATCAACTTGGCACCAGTTATGTGCCGCATTACAATGGCACCAACTTCTCTTCATCATCATCATCATCTATTTCTTGTCATCGTCTTTCTCCATTAGCTTGGTAACAGATGCTACATAAACAGTAATAAACAAAATGAAAATAAAAGATCTAATAATAATAATAAGGGTCTTTTCTAAAGATACAATAGTATGGTCCTGACAAGGAATATTGAAAAGATTTAATGAGGTTATTCGTACAACAGAGCTGATTCATGGTTGATCCCAGGGCTCAAGGGCCAGAATTTCTCTAATAACCTGAGCTTTATCTGCCTCAAACTGTTCATCCTCTGCACCAACAGACTAAAATTGAGAAACACTAACAAGACTGCTAATACAAATGAATGATTACTCCATATGTGAATTTCATTACTAACCTTTATCTGTCTTGAAATCTGCAAATAGACGAAGAAGCTTGGTTTTATTGGCAAGAAGTATGCTAATAATATCCGCGGGCTTATGTTGATTAGCCACAAATAACTGGAACATTTTATCTTAGAATTAACGACGGCCAACACCACTTTCGACAAATTAAAAATTCCAGCTGTAGAGGCCAATGTTAATTTATACAGCGTACCTTAAAAACATGAAATGCTTCTATTTGGATGCTCTTACTTGACTCCTGGAACCAAAACAGGAGCCAGTTTTAATTTCATATAATTCCAAAATGCTTCTATTTGGATGCTCTTACTCAACTCCTTGAACCCAAAAACACAAAATAAAAATTATGAACTGGAAACCAAATAGAAGCATGTAGCCAAACAAAAATCAATGTCTTTCTTTTCTTTTCATTTCCTTTTTTTATTCTTCCTAACTGAGGCTGTTCAGGGGGAAGAAGCACCAAGCAATCAGGAAGACCATCTTACTCTGAGGAGATTCATAAGAATTCTCAAGTTATCCCTTGAGCTCACATAACGTGTCATCACAGCACAATTTGAACGATCCAGCAACATGTCTCCCAAGAGCTGTAACAGTAAAAGGGGCTTCCTTAGTTACAATCAAAGATACTTCTGTTAACATATGATGCCACATGCTTTAAGAGTAATGAAGATTGTGAAACTGAAAAAATATCAGGATAATATGAGACGCATCAATCTAGTAGTATTAATCCCAATAAAGAAATAGAATTTTCAGTTTTGTGAAGCAATAAAACTATGGTCTTGTCAACACATTCCACAAACATGCCCCTCACGAATCCTCTCAGAACCAGCACTCAGGTGATGTTAAAGCGAAAGAAAGAAAAAAAGGAGAAGAAAGAGCCAATAATCTGACAATAGGATGTCCCTCAGTGATATGTACATATAAACTTTCATATAGTTATCCTTGATTCGGTAAACAAAATTAACAAGTATATGAGAGCTATCAAGTAAACACATGCTTTATTGCAATATGCCGTATTATGCAAAATATGAGATGAATGAGGAGCCAAAACCCTACATTTGTACTCACAACAAAAAGACAAAGGAGAAGAGGATTCATTTTCATATTAATAAAACTATACATATCTTTCATGAAGAGTACAAATTCTAGAGACAAAATAGCATTCCCTAGGATCTCAGGTGTCAAAATTTCAAATTTATTATATTCGTCCTACCTTGATAGCTTGTCGCCTGGTAATGTAGTTGGTAGATTCCAGTAGTTTTGAGTTATACTCTGCAAAAAACTAAAACCACAAATGTTCCAGAGAAATCAAATTATGGTTAACCAGAAGCCAAATAAAACAACAACAATAACAATGATGATCGACAATAAGTTGATAAACAAATAACCACAGGCAAAAATAGATAGGTGTGTATATCATACCAAATGTAGATTCATACAAGTGGCATGCAAGAGATACTTATACATGTTAGGCTAAACCTCATCAAAAAGAACTCACAACTCCATTCATATTTATTCTCAAGCACATATCAGTGCTTCAAGCAGGTACCAGAAGGTTCTGTAAGTATAAAAAAAGCATGTCATACTAAATGGCTGTTCAGAGCATGATATTAGCAATTGAACAGGATTTCACAAAAGAAGGTTTGTTTGCAGACGCTGCAAGAGGAGACCAATTTATGAAGACATGAACACAGACAACACAATATAATTTATCAACTACCACCACCATCCCCAATCCCCAACCCTACCAAAAAATGAAAAATGAAAAAGAAAAAATAAAATAAACAAAAGTAAACTTTGGGTCCCAATCAAGTGGAGTCGACTAAGTGAATCTTTTTTTGCCATTTTGCTCAACTAAGCGCTATATGCTAGTTAAATTAAATAAATTCATATCATCTTTTGCTACCACATTTCCTGTCAGGACAAGTCTTCCTCTCCTATCACTTTTCCTTACTATTGAATTACTAATTTTGGTTGTACAAGAGCAAACCATGTTAGTCTTCTCTTTCTCAACTTAAATTCAATATATGCTTCTCCTATCATTTCATGAATATATTCATTTTATATATATATATATATAATTTACCACACATCCATCAAAGTATCCTCATTGCAGTTACACTAGTTTTTATAAACCTGTTGTTTTTTAGTTCTCTGTCATTCTCCCTCAAATCATTGCTGCCTTTGTTCTAATTTAAAATATAAAATAAAATAAAATTTGAACAAACAAACCAACTAACCAACCAACCAAAAAACCTACATTTTAGATGCTTCCAATAAGTCTTTATACATATAAAAATATTCAATTCATCACTTACCCAGTCATAGTTTTTAGAAAGAAATTCAGCTACAGTTGATTTATGCCTTGTCAAGAGTTCCTGCAATAAAATGTCCCAACTGAGTCAAAACACATAATAACAAAACAGCAGACAATTGCCATTTTTAATCCCTACAACATATTCACTCAACTATTATAAGAGAACCCTTATATTGAGGCCTTCCACGCTATATTGCCCCTTGTATAGGTAGAGATGATACATACAGTGTCAAGGAAAATACAAAATTTACTTAACAGTGATATGATACATTTCTGATAGAGAGAGGAACCTCAGTTCAACCAGCAGATTGATAGAAATCATGGAACCTAGAAAACCACATGTTGCGATAATGCACTTATTATTTTAAAGAAATGGATCACAGCATCAGGCAGCTCTAAGCAGGGAAACATATTCAGCACAGGCAAGAACCAAATTGGCTGGTTTTTTGAACAAAGAGGGATTAGGGAGCATGAGAGTGTGTGCATGTGCATATGAGAGAGAGAGAGAGAGAGAGAGAGAGAATTGATCACTAGTTTTGTCAACCGTAATCAACCTTGAAAGTCGCAGAAGCATCCGCAGCAATATCAAAATTTGGAAGTTGTATATAATCAAAAAACTTCTTCACATTTTCTGATTCCAGAACATATCTGTCAAACAAGACCAGAGAAATTAAAAGACTAACACAATTGACAACATACGAAGTAATGCCACATCAAATAACAGTTCAATTTTTCCTTTTTTGATACACAGAAGTTCCTAATGAACATTTTAATTGGGCCAAATGTACGTAAAAAAAATAAAAAATAAAAAAATTCATGGATCAATCTGTTGGACAAAGTTTTAGACAAAAGCCACTATAACTTATATAACCTTAAGCCATTTAACTTTGTACTAAATTAAGAGATATGGTCATTTTTAATTAAGTTGATTAATATTGTCCAATTATAAAAGACGAGCATAAGCATAATCACAAGGAATTGAAATACATACCAGCAGTAAAAGCAATCAACTATGTCTGAACATATATAGTTTACAAACAATGAGTTATGAATATGAATGCCTCATACAGGAACAGTGAAAATAATAGAGGAAATATGCATCATTTATTAAGTTGAAAATTTACAGAATTGAGAAGCATCGTGTAGTAAGAATATTATCATATACATGATAATCTCTTCATAGAAAAAACAGGTAATTTAATTCACCCTTCGGAACAATTATGAAAGAAAGTATATTCAAGATCAAGACCCACTAATTTATTTATAATATTTGAGCACAAATTTAGTCAAATAAAAAATTGAACAGAAAAACCTGGTTGACGTGGCTCACCTTGCAACGCTCTGATGACGTATGCACTCCCTCAACATTGTACCATAATGTAAAGCCATGTCTGTGTTCTCATAACTAAATGAACCAGTAATAGAGCATTAGAATAGTTGGTCAACAGGAAATGTAGAATAACGAATGTAGTCAAAACTCCAAACAACCCTCTTTATCTATTCTTGCCCCCAAACAAAAAACAAGTCTATCTACATAGAGATGCTTCCAAACTGTGTCCCAACCATTTAAATATCACGAGGCATATATACTACAGAAATGTGCCATTACAAAAATAAAAAAAAAAAAATAAATAAAAAATTCTCATTAGTATTCCCAAAATTTCTTCTTTATTGAATCTGATTATTCAAATATTATCAGGAAAATGGTCCATTTAGGATCTCCAAAAGTAGTCTGCAACAAGATAATTGTATCTGGTTGATAATAAATTAATGCCTCGTTTGGGAACAGGCTAATTTAGTAACTTTTTGGTTATTTGGCTAAAATATGAGCTAAAAAAAACTAGTATATTTGGGATGACTTTTTGGCTTTTTATGAAAAGATATGCAAAAAGTAGGGAGAAAAGAGAGTCTTTGACTTTTTGGTATAGGTTGTTGGCTTTATGGTTTTTTTAGTGACTTTTTGACTTTTTGGCTAAACGGGTCGCTTCCCAAACGAGGCCTAAGTCACTCTGATTTCAAACGAATCAAATTCTGTCTTCCCATATAGAAATCCCAATGCAGTGAGGAAAATCAAAGCCACAAATGACAAATAAAATATTACAAATAACAGCAATGTAGAATAAGTTAAGCTGCAAATTAATCAATATATAGAATGATAAAGACAGTTTATCATATTCTCTACTTGTAGCAGCTTACCCTAACACCAAAATATCCATTAGATCTATGTTTGCTTCTAAGTAATCACAAGCAATCAGCCGAAACTGAACTTGTTGCCTTTGTAAATTTGCAACAACTTGAGTGGCATCTTTACGGGCCTGCAAAAGTTGACCACTGCCATGATAAATAAGATGAAGGAAAAAGGTAGAATGGATGAAGTACAAGGAATAGGAGAAAAACACACACTGCCAAATCCGACAGGTTAATTGATTATACCATCAAAATTTATAATACTTAATAAGAAAATGAGTTCATGCTACCTCTAAGTTCAATTTTGGAAGACACAAAATTAATAGACGCAGTGTGTTCTCTCTAAAGAACTCCTGGGTCAATTGTGCACAAGCTTCGGATACTGGTTCAGCTTCACCATTTCCATAAAGAATTGACTTTAGCTCCCGAATAAGCTTATTTAACTCCAACATCTGAAGATGGTGCAGGGAGGGACCAAAAAAAGAAAACAGAAATTAATACATAACAAATCAATAATAGGCTAAGGTCGTCAACTAACTGCAACAAACCCCACATAAGTAACGGTGCATAAGCAAGGAAACTAAGAAACACGTGTCATGAACAACATTGACACAACACGATACTCGTTGGATACTTCCCAACGCTCAGACATATATAAAACATATTACAAATTTGAATAAAATAACTTAGAATCTAATAAAAAAAATTACAAATTTATACATGTTCTCCTTCTTCATACATTAAAAATTATTGTTTTTTATTTAAATATTCAATTTCATATATATGACATAATAAATATATAAAATTATATATTTTACACGTGTTCCCTACGTATCGTTCTACATATTTTGAAAACTTGCATGTCTGTGTCATATCTATGCTTGTTAGCAACCATATTTCTCAAATCCACAAATATACATCATCATCCATACCTCAATACAACTCAAATGACAAAATTATTCTTCACAAATTACAAAGTAATTTAAAATCCACTCAACATCTATATTTGGCTTACAATGATAATAGACTAAATTGAGTGCGATGCAAACATCTTCTAAAAACATGTTTCAAAGTGAATAGTTTTTCCTCTTCTAGTATTAAAATAGTATAAAATCTATAGTATATATCATATAATAAAAAAACTAAAACCCATTACCATCTTTCGCTTTAAAACGTCAACACATGTAATATCGGTGGGCTAATCTCGCTGTCCCCATCACAAAGTTGTCATTTGGCCTTACGGACACAAAAAAGTGCAAACCAATCTAAGCAAATACTGAATAGCCAATTAAATACTAGAATTCGCACAAATGACGATCATTCTCCAATTGAATCACAAAAAAATTGAAAAAACAACAATGCAAAACTTGGAAATAAATTAAAATTACGCAGTTCTGACAAGGACACTCATTTCGCGCCGTTAGTTTGTAATCAGTAATTCATTATTTCCAGAATTGCTTGTTCATTTCAACATAACTTTGTAAACAAATTCTAAAAAAAATATCAAATTTTGATCATAAATTAACCAAAAAAACATATATTGATCAGAAACGCATGTAAAACACAATTGATACCTTCTCTTCGCGCTTGGTTTCTCGAGAGTCAGGATTTTGATCGACATAGATGAGAAGATCACGGGTGAGACGGACCAGATCAACCGGCGTCTTAGGCTTGGACTTGAAGAGACCCTTCATCTTCCTCTTGCCCCCAAAACCTTTCTCTGGTAGCTCCGGCGCCGGAGACGATAGCTCCGAACCACCAACGGCACCAGAGCTTGTTGTGTTCGGCACGATGACAAACAGATTCCTATGATTGGGTTTGACTCTCTCTCTCAATCTCTCTCATTCTCTCTCTACAAACCCACATGCTATATGCTATGCTATGCTATGCTATTGTTAGAAAAAATATGAAAATGAGAGAATCAAATAACCCCTCTCTCTCTCTTCGTTGGATTTGTTGAAATTTTTATTAATAATTATTTGTTGAAATTTTTATTCTATTCTATCTGTTAAAATCACTTTTTTTTTATCTGTTCAAAATTCATCTCTCTCTCTCCATTAGGGGGTGCTCGCGGTTTGATTACGGTTGGAGATCTTTCAATCCGCTATCTGTCCGCTGGATTGACAGATTGAAAAAAATCAATCCACATTCGTTTGCCAGATTGGCCGATTAGCAGATGGATGCGAATCGATTTGACGATTTAAACTTTTACAAATTTTGAACATAATATAATAACTTGTTAATATTTTTTTTGAATAACAATCCAACTTAATATAACCAAAAGATTATTAAGTAAATTGTCAAATACCAATAATAAATACATATAAGAAAATCAAGCATTATCAAAACTATTTCATTACTTTTTTTTTTGGGTCAATTCAAAAACTATTTAATTTGATTTTTTTTTTAAAATGACAAAATTAAGTCTTATATTTTTCACACAAAAATATTAAATATTAACACTTGCCATTTGATAAAAGGATTTCTAAATTGAAAATATAACAAAATATCTAAACTCTTTTTTAATTGAAAATACAAACAGAATATCTAAACAAATTGAAAATACAAAGTTTTACAAATTACTAGGGGTGCTCGCAATTTGACAGTTCGGTTACGGCCAAAGGAACCTTAAATTCGCCATCCGTGTAACGCCCTCAAAATAATAACATTAAACCCATCAAATAAGACATTCATTGACATATGAAATAACCACATTCTTCTATTCATCAGAGTTTCATTACAAAAGTATTACCTCTCTCTCTCTCTCTCTCTCTCTCCCCCACACACACATACACATCACATGTAAATTCAGGTGCTGCTTCATTACTGGGAAATAATTTAGTGATTTCACAATTGAGAAAATTGGTAAAAAAATTCGATTTAAAGAGAGGGCATGGTGTGAAGTTCGTTGGGTTTGTTGAAATTTTTATTAATAATTATTTGTTGAAATTTTTATTCTGTTCTATCTGTTAAAATCACTTTTTTTATCTGTTCAAAATTCATCCCTCTCTCTTCATTAGGGGTGCTCGCGGTTCGGTTACGGTTGGAGAACTTTCATTCCGCTATCTGTCCGTTGGATTGACGGATTGAAAAAAATCAATTCACATTCGTTTGCTAGATTGGCCGATTAGCAAATGGATGTGAATCGATTTGACGATTTAAAATTTTACAAATTTTGAACATAATATGATAACTTGTTAATATTTTTTTGGATAACAATCCAACTTAACATAACCAAAAGATTATCAAGTAAATTGTCAAATACCAATAATAAATACATATAAGAAAATCAAGCATTATCAAAACTATTACATTACTTTTTTTTTTTGGTCAATTCAAAACCTATTTAATTTGATTTTTTTTTTTAAAATGACAAAATTAAGTCTTATATTTTTCACACAAAAATATTAAATATCAACACTTGCCATTTGATAAAATGATTTCTAAATTGAAAATACAACAAAATATCTAAACTCTTTTTTAATTGAAAATACAAACAGAATATCCAAACAAATTGAAAACACAAAGTTTTACAAATTACTAGAGGTGCTCGCAATTTGGCAGTTCGTTTACGGCCAAAGAAATCTCGAATTCGCCATCCGCTCAGAACTAGACAGATTGAAAAAAAATCAATCTGCAATCGTCCGCTCATCATCACGCATATGTCCAAAATGCGACGGATCGATTCGGTTCGGTAGGTTTAGGCGAATCGGAATATCCATTGAGCACTCTTACTCTCCATAAACCCACTATTTGTCAATAATTTCAATAGATAGATATTCAACCCCTATCTGTACAAATTATATTAACTTATTTTGTTCCATAATTTGAACAGATAAACATGATTGAATTTCTATCTGTTAAAATTCTTGTCATGTATATGTTTTAATTTTTTCTTATATGTGCAAATTAGAGAAAGGAAAGTAAGGATAATCTGTTCAACCAAATACACAAATCATATCAGATCCAAACAAAGACACAGATTAGATCTAATTTGATCTGATTTGTGCAAAATCGAACTAAAATTGAAACTCAAGTCTGTGCAAAATTGAACTGAAATAACTCTCATTCTTCACCATTAATGGATCGATCTTCATTTGAAATTGAAACTGAAACTAATACTCAAAACATCATTAACCACGTTTTTTCCAATAGCAAAATCACACAACTTGATCACCATGCCACTATCATTAGAATCACAATCATAATCGATTCAAATCATCCAATTGAATTGTTTCAAAAATTGAATAGTACTAACTTGTAATCTTCGTTCTTGATGAACTCAACGACGATGTCCCTCTCGGGTGATCCGGAGTGTTTTGGTGATGAGACACATGAACAGGGTGGGTTTGCGATTGTCGCCATAGGTGGCACCAAGGTAGTCGAGCTCCATGGCCTTGTCGACCAACATCTCCGGCGTGAGGCTGAAGCATTGCTCATTCCCATAGGTTTGTTGGTATAGCTTAGACCTCAGTATCTTCTCCACCAAGTTATGTGGGTTAGTATATAGATGGATATATATAAATACATGGGTAGTTTGGTCATTTTGTAGAAGCATGTCCTTATAGACTTTATAGTTTAGCATGTGGACTTTTGGGCAAAAGATATTCAAATTTAGATTTATGGACCCAGCGTCCTTCATAATTTTATTTTGAGAAAATTATCAATATATCTTATTTTACTCTTAAGATTATTATTGGATATAATCAATTTTTAATATGGACAACTAAGTCCATTGTTTATAAAATGTTCCCAACAATTTCATTCCTTCATAATGGTATATGTTATCCCAATTTTACCCTTCATTTAATATGAACAATAATTTCATAAATATTTTTAATCTAAGCAAAATTATATTTTTTTAATTGTAAAAATTATGATATTGAATTAAAATATTAATAAGCCACAATGAAAAAAAAATTCCAATAAAATTTATTTTATTTTGAAAATTATTATTGAGTTATATCAAATTTCAATATTAACACAAAAGGGTGTGTTACACCCTGTCCGACCCATGTAAATAATCACAAATAATAAAAGAAAAGACAATGAATCAAAGAAATAAAAAGGTGAGCTCGCATACATATTTAAACAACATCATCCATTCCATAACATAATTCCATTACATACATCCTACATTCAGATTCTAGGTGAAATGAATACACAGTATGTAAATCAAGCTATTAGTGTTAAGTGAACAAATAAGTTGCACTAAGGCTTAAAAAAACAAAAAGGGTTCAACCCTTAACCAAAAATAGCTTATGGCCTAAATAAAATAAAGTCCATTGGCCTGAACATCAAAAGCTCCTCAAGCTCAAGCACACGTCCTGGCGCTTCGCCTAAAAGTCGGAGCATGCCATCAACACTTGAAAAGATTTCAACTACGTATGGTGAACATATAGTCTAGTAGGGAACATTTCAGAAACCAATACAAGCCCACAAGTATAGATGATCATGATGCTATACATATATATAGCATGTTTAAAATGTTTAATTAAGCCATCATTTCCAAACCCAACATGAAAACCCGGCGAACCCTCTCAAGCCCATGTATTTGCTAGTGGTTATCGCTAAGCACCACCTACAACCAATGCACTATATGAAGCTACACTCTGCCAGTGACCATCACCAAGCGTTACCTAAACCACCAAATTATCGGTTACTAACCAAATGACCTTGGCACCTAATCGCGTAATTTTCTAGTCTTTCCCCTTGGACTATAGAGCCAAATTAACCAATCATCACCTCAACCATACATGACCCTAATTAACCCAACCACTTAATTAAAATCATGTTGTTTTAATAATATCAATGCAATAATAGTAATAACCATTTCTTGCAAAACATGCTCAGTGTATCATTGTTCAACAATGAGTTTTCATTCTCAACACATCTAAAAAAGGTATGAAATGATAATAATTAGTAACCACTAATTACATCAACCTTTCCAACATTTCAACAACCACTTCTCAAAGCCTAAACTCACAAATTTATATGGTTTTCATATACCATTTAGGGCTTACTCAAAATAAAGCACCTATATGCTATTTGTTAAAATAGAAATAGGTTTGACAAGAACCAACCGAAAAAACCCTATCTCACCTAAAAATCACCAAACCCCAATATTACAATACATGCTCTTTCCAAATTAACAACAACAACAACAACATGTAGATTTTATCTCAAAACTACCACAAGTACACCAATAAACTCATATAGAGCTAAAGAAATAGAACTCGACGTTTCGTAGAGAAGAGGATAGATGCTGAAATCCATTTTTGGGCGAGATTAGAATGATGTTCTCGACAAGATCCACAACACTCAAGAATGAGATAGAGATCAAAACCAAGCTTAAGTGCTCGAAAGTCAACATTGAAGCTCCTAAAACTAGGTTACATCGCAAGAGAGAGAGAGAGAGAGAGAGAGAGAGAGAGTGTAGAAAGTTGAGAAAAAAGTGATATTTTTGTGCACTGCTCTGTTTTATGTAGCTAATAGACCGCGAGCGCGATGGTCTAGATCCCGAGTGCGAAAGACACAGTCGCGAGTGCCACTTAACTTTTCGAGTGCGCAGAACAACATACAAACAAAAGTATTAGGAGGGGTTTTTGGTCGCAGCCTGGTCACATGAGCGATTCACAACATCGTGGGAGCGACTATAATATTGTGGGTGTGACCATGCTATTCGCGGCCTCCATCACAGCCTATCGCAAGTCACGCAACTTTTCCAAGCCTAAGGACCTAAAAATGTGTTTTGGTCGCGTCTTGGTCGCGGGTGTGACTATAAGATCGTGGGCACGATAAAGATCAGAATAGATTCTCACCCTATTTTCCTGGAATAGTTCTAAGTGTACAAAACCACTCCTAACCACAACCAACATAACAAAACAAGTAAATAAGATAATAATAACATCATCACCCATTTATAAGCCCAAAAG